TTATCTCAAGATTTTGTTGGCTCTTTGTCAATTTCCTTCTTTTTCATGCCATTAAAAAATTAACTGTCTAAAGATTTCCACATGATTACAGCCCATGTTTTTATCCCTTTTTTTGTTTTGGTTTTGTTTCTTTTGTAAAGCCTTAACCTTAAAAAAAAAGTTTTGTTTAGATCTAATTAACCTACATAAAATTAACTCAATTAAAAGTGTACACTTCAGTGGTTTTTAGTTTAATCACAGAATTGGGCAACCATCATCACAATTTTTTTTTTCTGGAGACAGAGTCTTGCTCTGTCGCCGAGGCAGGAGTGCAATGGCATGAACTTGGCTCACTGCAACCTCTGGCTCCTGGGTTCAAGCGATTCTCATGCCTCCCAGTTAATCTCGAGTAACTGGGATTACAGGCATGCACCACCATGCCCAGCTAATTTTTGTATTTTTAATACAGATGGAGTTTTACCATGTTGGCCAGGCTGGTGTCAAACTCCTGACCTCAAGTGTAATCGCAAAGTGGTGGGATTACAGGTGTGAGCCACGGCGCCCGGCCTGTTTTTGAATATTTTCACCACTTCCCAATTGCCTCTCACCCACCCTAGGCAACCCAACCACTAATCTTTCTGTTCCATAGATGTGCCTATTCTGGACTTTCATAGACATGCAGTCATCCAATACAGGGCCTTTTGTGACTGTCTTCTTTCACTTGGCATAATATGTTCAACATTCATCTATGCTGTAGTATGCATTATTTCTTCATTCCTTTTCATGGCTGAATACCATTCTGCTGTGTGAATTTGCCACATTTTGTTTATCCATTAATCAGTTGATGAACATTTGAGTTGCTTCCACTTTTTGGGTATTATGATGCTGCTATGAACACTCCCGTACAACTTTTTGTTTGGAATTTTTGTTTGCAATTCTCTTGGCTCTCCAGGAGTGGAATTGTGAGGTCAAATGGTAACCTTTTTTTTTTTTTTTTTTTGTGACAAGGTCTGGCTCTGTCTCCCAGGCTGAAGTGCAGTGGTGTGATCTTGGCTCACTGCAACCTCCGCTTCCTGGGCTCAAGCCACTCTCCCATCTCAGCCTCCCAAGTTGCTGGGATTACAGGCACCCGCCACCACATCCGGCTAATTTTTTGTATTTTTAGTAGAGACGGGGTTTCACCATGTTGGCAAGGCTGGTCTCAAACTCCTGACCTCAAACTCCTGACCTCAAGTGATCCACCCACCTTGGGCTTCCAAAATGCTGGGATTACAGGCATGAGCCACCACACGTGGCCAGTAACTTTTTTTTTTTTTTATATAAAGCTGTATCTCTTAGAACTTGTTTGTTTGTTTGTTTGTTTATTGGAGATGGGGTTTTCCAGGCTGGTTTTTTTTTTTTGAGACGGAGTCTCACTCTGTTGCCCAGGCTGGTGTGCAGTGGCGCAGTCTCAGCTCACTGCAACCTCTGCCTCCCAGCTTCAAGTGATTCTCCTGCCTCAGCTTCCCAAGTAGCTAGGATTACAGGTGCCCACCACCATGCCCAGCTAATTTTTGTATTTTTATTTTTTAGTAGAGACAGGGTTACCATGTTGGCCAGGCTGGTCTTGAACTCCTGGGCTCAAGCGATCCTCCTGCCTCAGCCTCCCAAAGTGTTAGGATTACAGGTGCAAGCCACCATGCCTGGCTTCAAATGGTAACTCTATGTTTAACTTTTTGAGAAATTGCCAGATTGTTGTTTAAAAGTGGCTGCACCATGTAATCTTTTTTTTTTAAAAAAAGAATTTTACAATCCAGCTGGACACGGTAGCTCACACCTATAATCCCAGCACTTTGGGAAACTGAGTAAGGAGGATTGCTTGAGGCCAGAAGCTCAAAACCAGCCTGGGCAACACAGTGAGAGACCTTGTCTGTATTAAAAAGCTTTTTTTATTTTTTTATTTTTTTTTTACTGGACTCGGGCTCACGCCTGTAATCCCAACAGTTTGGGAGGCCAAGGTGGGTGGATCACTTGAGGCCAGGAGTTCATGATCAGCCTGACCAATGTGGCAAAACACCTTCTGTACTAAAAATACAAAAATTAGCAGGCATGTGGTGGCATGCGCCTGTAATCCCAGCTACTCGGGAGGCTGAGGCAGGAGAATCCCTTGAACCCGGGAGGCAGAGGTTGCAGTGAGCCGAGATCGCGCCACTGCACTCCAGCCTGGGTGACAGAGCGAGACTCCATCTCAAAACAAAAACAAAAAATTTTTTGAAATCCCATACAAGGCATCTAGGATAAAAGATTTGAGGTTGCTTTTTTACATTCTCCTACGGTCTCAATCACTAAGCCATATATGGTGCCATTGGTGGTGGGGCTCCTTTAATTACATTCAGTCATAGCCCGGTAAGGGACATCTTCTTAGGGAGTTTGGTTCCATCGTTATGTACAGAATTCAATACTGCCTGCACTTGCAGATAATGTGACACCCACTACAACAAGGAAGATAATTCAAATGGTCAAGATAACAAAAGAGGGCAAGAATCATGGAAATAAGAGGGTATTCCGTGAAGGAACTGAACCATTGTGTTGATCGTTACAGGCTTTACCTGATAAACTTCTGTTAAAGATGGCTGGTGTGGTGGCTCATGCCTGTAATCCCAGCACTTTGGGAGGTGGGAGTGAGCGGATCACTTGTGCCCAGGAGTTTGAGACCAGCCTGGGCAATTTGGGGGAAACCCCATTTCTATGAAAAACACGAAAATTAGCTGGGCACGGTGGTGCACATCTGTGGTCCCAGCTACTCAGGAGGTTGAGACAGGAGGATCAGTTCAGCTTGGGAGGCCGAGGCTGGACTGAGCCATGATCATGCTACTGCACTCCAGTTTGGGTGACAGAGCAAGACCTTGTCTCAAAAGTAACAACAAAACTTTGTTTACCTTTAAAGTGCCCTGTGCTCCTCCCCCATCCCATTCTCCTAACACTTAACATGAAGTTTATGTATCTTTTTCTCGTGCTTCATGTCAGTTCAACCAATTATGTATGCATCTCTAAACAATATGTTGATTAACTTGCCTGTTTTGAATTTTATATAATGGAAACGTAGCAGTGTACCATTTTGTGATTTGTTCCCTGCCAATATATTCTGAAATTGACTACCATAATTGTGTGAGCTGTATTAAATAATTTTCACTGGTCTTTTGTATCTGATTAAACATGAAGATGGGCCAGGCGTGGCAGCTCACACCTGTAATCCCAGAACTTTGGGAGGCTGAGGCAGGAGGGTCACTTGGGCCGAGTAGTTTGAGACCAGCTTGAGTAACATAGGGATACCCTGTCTCTACAAAAACAAACCAAACCATGAATATGTCAAAGTTGATTTTTACATTTGACTGGATGGACATCTGCTTTTTCTCCCCAATTTTTAGTGAGCCATACTGCTGCTATAAACATTAGTGCTGCTATGAGCATTATTTTGTCTACTTGTGCATAGGTGCAACTGTTTCTCCAGGGTAATATATTCTCAAGAGAGGATGTGTATATCTTTAAGTGTACTGCGTGCGTAATACCAAATTATTTTGCAAAGTGATTGCACAAAATTATAGTTTTAAAATTTTCATTTTCATTTTATTTTATTTATAAATAGAGGCAGAGTCTCCCTATGTTACCCAGGCTGGTGCTGGAACTCCAGGACTCAAGCGATCCTCCTGCCTTGGCCTCCCAAAGTGCTGGGATTACAGGCGTGAGCCACCGCTCCTGGTCCAAAATTATGTTTCTCAGCAGTGATTAATATACAAGCACATCAACAGACACACGCACAGCACACACATGAGCATGCACACACTAACGTGTGCGTACTCCCTACACATCTACGCATGCACACACCCACACTCACACCCATCACACACCACACACGTGCACACAGACGCGCATGCACCGCACACACCGTTGTACACGATGCACACTGACTACGAGCCACATATACGCACTACGTACACACGCACGCGCACAACACCAGACCCGCACACAGCCCCATAAACGTCCATCACGCACTCCACGCACGTCCGCATGCACGCGACCCATCCCAGAA